TCGTCTTTCGTCGAAGCTTCCTGCTGCATTTACTCCCTAAGGTTGTCTTCGGCCCCAGGTTCGTGCTGGGTTTACAGGAGAGGGGAGGGGAGGGGAGGGTTTAGGGAGGGGACGGGAGGGGAGGGGAGAGAGGAGAGGAGAGGGGAGGGAGAGGAGCGGAGCGGAGGGGAGGGGAGGGGAGGGGAAGCACTGTGCAGCAAGCCTGCACGCAGGAAAAAGTTACATCTAAGCCAGAAAAAAGTTACATCTAAGCAAAAAGGAATGACAACTAAGGCTGCTACCCCTTGAAAGCCCTGTGCAACTTGTCCCTGTCAACGAAACCGACCAACCGCCAGATGGACATCACGTCCGCACCCAATCCGCTCAAGCTGCATCCACGCTTCGTCAGCATAAGCCACTGCGGTCTGTCCCGCTTGCAAATTTTGATCAGGTCCATTGGCAAGCGCTCGCTGTTATTGCATGTGGCTATGCACCGGAACGCGATGCTGAGCTCGGGCGACAGGCTTATGCTGGAAGGTCGTGGGAGCTGCTTCTCAACATCTCCAGTCAAACCTGAGACAGATGAAAAGCAGGTGCGAAAAGCAAACAGGCGCTCTCCTATAAGCCCAGAAGCGTGGCGAACCTTAGTGAAGCTCCGGAGGGCTTCAAAGGCTCGCCGAACAAACTTCGCTTGGAACCCCTAGCTGAATTGGAAATTACAAGAAAGTTCGTCGAAACAGCTAATCATTTGGGGAAGCACAGTCCGCAAAATGCAACATCGCTGAATTTTGCTTGTCAATCGGACATCCACGATTGTACCCACCCTTTATGAAGTCAGTTTCTCGTGCTACATGACATGACACTTTGAAGCCGTATGAGTGAGGGACTGGAAAGCGGTCCCTAAGTTGGCGAGCCCACAAGAGCAGGTGGATGTGAAACAAGTTATTCGTGGAGCCCCGCACTGGTTCCTGTTACGAGGGGCGGCCTGGGGGTGTTACAGGAACTGGTGGTTGCTGTTACAGGATCGGCCCGCGTTCCTGGTACGAGTTCGCGTTACGGACGTCCTGTTCCGATTACGGCAACACTCAGGTGATCAGGAGTAGTCGAAGTCTAGTATGGTCCGTGGGAGCTGTGTCCCAATCTGCATCACGGAGTTTCCATAGTTTCCTCCATTGGCAGCCTGAGGACTACCAGCCATGCCCCCACAACTGCTGCATCGAAGATCCAGCCGATCTCCTGATCTCCACTCCCACGAGCTATCACAAGCTCGAACAAGCTTCACCCAGCCCAGCCGGCGAGCCAACTGCTACTTGGGAGGCACCCCCTCGAGCAATACAATAAAATCCTGGTGGACACCAGGCACGGGAAATGTAATGCGCAAGGGTTCGGGAGGGTCCAGTTTTCAAGCTTCCCAAACCTGTCTCTACCCTAACTTCCACTCTAGATTCCAGCCTGGCCCAGACGTACCTCTGATCCTCTAATCCCACACCATGGACTGCC